CAGAGGTGTGGCTGTGACCCGCCGTGAGTGAAAGGGCTCTCGCTGCCCAGAAACCTCGTCTTATGTAAATACGCAAAACGCGTTCCCTGGAACAGGAAACCATGACTAGAAAATCACTCGGGGGTCCGAGTTCTCCTGGTGGTGTGTCCCTGAGCCAGTGAAAGGGGAAGGGGAAAGTATAATCCTCTTGGTAAAACTGTAATACCACGTATTTTGCGTTTGCATCTCATTATGAAGAGCAGGGGGAGTGTGACACTACTTGTTTGTTCTTTATTTTTGTGTTAGCTTAAAAGAAAAGCAGGGTGTTAGGGGTAGTTCAGAACAATAGCCCTCAACCCCTTGCGTAGAGCGCCGAGGCTCGGACGTGAGCGTGCAGCCGACACGGTGTACCTTCCCGAGCTACGCCGAGTCTCACGCTGCTGAATTTTGGTGATAGACTGAAAACTTTGGGCACACACCGGTCTGCAAGGGCTGGTCCTTCTTTGGGAGGGCACAGGTGACCCCCCAAGACTGAAACTTTGAGCACACACCGGTCTGCAAGGGCTGGTCCTTCTTCGGGAGGGCACAGGTGACCCCTCCCACTCCCTTTACATGCTCACTTAAGCGTGGTCTCTTATTTTATCTATATCCTATATTACTTTCTGGGTGATTTTCTTTAACCTTAATGCATGTTTTATGGGCTCTCCTCCCTCCCCTGCCCAGGACGAGAAGATCACTGTTAACCAAGATGTCCCAGTGCACGAAGGGAAGCCTCATATTGTCCACTTCCAGTACAAGGTCACAGAGGTGAAGACCTCCTCCTGGGATGCAGTGCTCTCTAATCAGAGCCTCTTTGTGGAAATCCCTGATGGATTATTAGCTGATGGAAGTAAAGAAGGGTAAGTTCAGGATCCCGGAGCCGTGTCCATGGCTCCACAGAGGGCAGGACTTTGCTTACGTGGGCGATGCTGTGCATGTGAGAACGTGTACGGCAGGTCTGTTCCTGGTTTGTGTATGTATGTCCTCAATCCTCTTCAGAGAAGTGTCCTCCTTACATATTTTCTTCTCCTTAGTGATTTTTTTGAATCCCTATCTGTGCAATAAATGGGCAGAGTGATTCTTTGGTGTAGAAAATCTACAAGCCTTTCTCTGATTTTCATCCTGCTGGCCACTTGGCAAGCTGCTTTTGGCAGGCGCTTTTCTCTCTTTTAAGGGAAAAAAAGCCCACCCTCCGTTATATCGATGCGCTGCTCCTCATCAGTCGGTGGATCTGCGCTTGGAGTGCTGCCACGCAGGCGCTGGGCTCTGCCAGAGCCTCGGATTTTTCTCTGTTGGCAGAATAGGGGAGTGTTTTGTCCAGACAGCTCTGCTCTGGGAAGTTTGTGTAAACGCAGCTTCCAGAGCAGCTACTTCCTGCCAAGTGCTTTGCCAGAGATCTCCGCTGGCGGGGAGCGCTGTAGCGTAGATGTGGCTTTACTGGATTCCTCTGCAGAGCTCTCTGAAGCCTTCCTAAATCCCCAAGTAGGCTTCATCCATAAATGACACAAGCTAATTAAGAAGAAAACCTCACTGGGCACCTTCAGCAAGTGCCAGTGTTCTTGCTGTCTCACACTTGTCTCGTTTGACTCCGAGTCCAGGTAGAGGTTTGTGTCATTTCTTCAGCCAGCCTGTAAATCCTTTAGCTGTCCAAGTGCCTGCTCCCTGGGGAGCGGGTTCTTCTGGGAGCGTATTTACCTGCCTGTGTCATCCTGACCTGAGCGCCTGAAGATTATTTTTAGCTAGGTAAAACAGCCTAGTAGACGCTATAATTAAAATAGCTCATTACCATATTAACAAAACCCTTGCAAATTCCATCTCCCTCGCTGCGCTCCGGTCTCGCTGACTGCTGTTTAATTAGACGGCGGTTGAAGCCGTGTTTGTCGCTGCTCTGGCAGCCTGTGTCGTAAATGGTTAACGAGGCCAGCAGCGACGGTCTCCGGGGCTCAGAGAGGGGTTAATGCAGCGCCGCTCCCATCGAGAGGTGGCAGAAATCATTTAGCTGGAAAGGCAGGAAGCGTGGATTCAGGGTGCATCAGCTGTGCCATCCAGCTGATGTGTTCAGGAAACAGCTCTGCCTCTGCACATGCTCCTTCAGGGGTGTTTTTCTCTTCTGGCTGGCATGAGCTTTTTTTTTTTTTCCCTTTTTCCTTCCCATAAAGCACAAAACTTGCAGATCCCCTCGTGTCTGTTGCCAGTGGAGAGGATATAGCCTGGCTCGGGATCAGCTGCAGTATCCAGCTTCCTGGGGACGGGTGCTTCTGCAGGTGGCAGGACAGTGACTCGTTGGGCGACTTGGGGCAAGGGCAGCTCTTGGTTTTGCAGGGCTGGAGGTGGAGGCAGGAAGCCCATTGTTTCAGCGCCCATTGTTCGCTGGAAGGGGTCTGTAAACAAAGTCTTTCTGCCTGAAAACATCCAAACAGTTGATAATGCTCAGAGGCTTCCTCAGGATGGGACTTCCTATGGCTTATGTTCCTTTGTCTTCTTCCTCCTTGGCAGGTTGTCAGCACTGCTGGAGTTTGCTGAAGAAAAAATGAAAGTAAACTACGTCTTTATTTGCTTCAGAAAAAGCAGAGAAGATCGAGGTGAGCGCTCGCCCCCACTGTCAGGTTTGCTCCCTGCATCTGCACCAGTGTCTGTAGTCCCAAGGCAGGGCTCCACGGGATGCCTCCCGTCACCGTACACATTACACACACCACTTCCATGTTCTTCTTCAAGGAGAAGGTTTCCTGTGGAGAAAATAGGCCCTTTGATGAGACCAAGGGGGAGCGGGAGTATTTTTGGTTTCTCCAGCAGGTATGCTGCACTCTCCAGTGAAGGTATTGCCAGTATTCTCATGAGGAAAGCTGCTCAGGAGCAGCTCGGAATATTTTCTTGCTCAGAAATTGGGTAGTATTTCTCCGTTGGTACCGAGGGAAAGTCTCTGGCACCAGGCTGCTCTGATTTGGAAGGAGAAACCAGGGGGGAGGTTATTAGCTGGGAAATGAACTCTCGTTGCCCTGACGTTCATCTGCTTTTTAAAGATCTCCCGGCACTTTTGCCCTTCCTAGACCTACAGGTAATCCCGGCCCTGGCCGTAGATGCTTACGGCTTAGGGGGCTGCGTTAGGATCTAAAGATAGACGTGCTGAGCGCTTGCAGCACGGAAGGCTGAGGGGATCTGTGGCGAGGTACCACTCCCGGTCGCACCGGACGCAGGCTGGTAGCCCAGCGATTGCTGTGGCAGCAGTAACTCGAACCTCGGTTCTAATTTTGCTCCGCTGCTTCACGAGCTGCGCCGTCCTTTGAAACGAGGGGCGGTGTTGGAGCTGAGCTGTGCCGAGCCCAGGACGATGTCCCTCCCTGGTGCGATGCCAAGAAAAACTGTCAGATGTGCTTCTTGCCCGGATGTCACCGCCGCCACGGGTTGCATTGGCGACCTCCCCGCTGCCTGCTTACGGGAGACGCGTGACACGGGGGGTTTGTTTTTAAAAATGGACCGTGTGTTGCTCTTGGACCTGGCTTATGAGTTCTGGAGCGCTCCAGGTCCTGGGTCCTTGTCTGTGCAGTTGGAATTCAGTACTGGCTTGCAAATACACGGGAGCTCATCCGCATGCCCGTTCCGTGGCTCGAAGCTCATCGTCGGAGGACGCTGTAGAGATTAGATGCTGCACCAGGGTGACTTTCACGGGCGACCCGGAAGCGGCTGCCTTAGCAACAGGCGTGACACAGCCTTGTCTGACTGAGACAAGGTGTGGGGGAGCCTCTGGACTGGCCCCGCTCTGAATTTCTGTGCGTGACCCGTGGTGGCTTTCCTGGGGGACTGCACCGAGCTGTGCTGAGCCTCAAGTTTCCACTGAGCTCCAGGCCCTCCTCACAGGGATGTGAAATGTGTACCTAGACACTGAGTGAGTAGGGGGCTGTGTGCTGCCATCTGACTCGGTTTCGGGGCTCAGAGGGTGCTGGGACCCGTGGAAGCGCAGAACACAGCCTTCAACGTGCATCCTGGCGGAGAGGTCTGCGCAGGTGGATAACCCGCCATCGCCGTCTCTCGGAGGGGCCGGAACAGACATCGCAGGATAAACAGGGAGGGGCCTGCTCTGCCGCACAGCGAAAACCCCCTTGGCGCTGAGGGGCAGCTGTGCTGGACGCAGGGCGAGAGGAGGCCGCCGCTGACGTTACGATGGCTTCTTTCTGTGCAGGAAGCCCTGGGCGTGCTCACAGGGGGTGTTCCGTGCGCTCCGCTACTCGCGGCATCTAGGGTTGATGCAGGTGAGGGGGGATGTTCCCGATGGTAACGGATTTCCTTCTCTTTGGTAGCTCCGCTCCTGAAGACATTCAGCTTCTTGGGCTTTGAAATCGTGAGGCCACACCGCTCGGTCCCGTCGCGGCCAGACGTGATGTTCATGGTGTACCCCCTGGATCAGAACTCTTCATCTGATGAAGAATAGCCGCAGCGGGGGACTCCAGCGTGACCTGAAAATGCTGTTGAGGGGAGAGAGGGTTACATCTCCTTTCTTGAGGAAAGGGAAAACAAGCTTCTGTTGGACTAAAACCGCATTTTTTCATTGTTAGATTGGCCTGTGTATCCTCAGAGTTGACTATCTCATTGAAACGTGTTGCCTAGAGAACTATATATCCACACATGTAATCACCAAATAGTAAAGGGGAGATGTTTATGAACCGGCATAGGAGCTCTGTGCGTGCGGCTGCGTGGCGTGTTAGCCTCGGGGCGCCCGCGGGG